ATATTTGCACTAAATGGCACTAAAACTTAAGTCATTTCCCTAAAGAATACTTAAATTGTTTTATTCCCTAAATAGCACTTAATAATGTCCATAATGTCTTGTGTTGGCAAATATTTACTTGAATAATGACTAATGCATAATGACTAAAAGTGCTACATTGGGAAGAAAAACACATGTAGTGCTGTTTAGAGAAAGTCATTATGTTTTAGTGCTATTTAAGTAAATTCCTCTATATTTTATTCTATATTTGATACACAACATTAATTATTGGATATATTATTCTATATTAAATCATTAAGGGGGGTGCTTATTTAACGTCACATTTATTCCTATTAATTCATAATCTATCAATCACATTACATCTATTTTCTACCAATCTATTCATCAAATCATAGTTTTACTCATCACGTTCAATGACATTTTTAAAAACTCAACACCAAAATAAACTCACCTTAAATCCTTTAAAAAAACAAATTTTTATATCTTTAGGGGCTGAGGGCGTATATTACTTAAGGTGTAAGGCATGGGAGAACAAAATTGCATTTGATAGGTGGTAAATTGGTATAGATGGTAAAATCATTTTTGGTACTTTGGTACCAAATTATTTCGGAAACAGAGTGTATGGGTATGCCGTATGCCAAACATATACTCCCTCCACTCCTTAACAAACTTCCCAATTTGACTTTTAAAAAGTTTAAGGAGAGTATATTTTGGTGTTGACTTTTCAAAAATGTCCTTTGATGTGATGGATAAAGTTGGATGTGATGGTCGATTAATAAAGAAAAAATGTGATGTGATTGGTAGGTTAATAATTAATTGAGGTAAAAATGATTTTTTAATATGAAAAAAGAAGTGTTTTTTTTGGGACGGATGAAAAAGGAAAAGAGAAGAGTTTTGTGGGACGGAGGAAGTAGAATGCTAATATTCCCGTTTGATTCATTTTTTTGCCCCAAACTCGTTCCACCCCAATTCAAAATAATGGGACATCGTCGGGACAACATAAAGTATACCGTTCTGTTCCGTTTGTCCCAATTTATATACTCTTATATAATAAAGAAAACCTCCTAAATAAGAGTAAATCATATGTCATATCCTCAAAATATGAGCTTAAACTTAAACTCCTCTAAATAGGAGTAATTAATTAAGTAATAAAGAAAGAAAACATTGCATTAGTTTCTTTAAAACCGTACCATCTCCAAGGAAATAAATTTAAACAAAGAACATAGGTTGTGGTTCAGATTTGTCCTCTAGTCCTGATAATTAATAATGGTTACTTTTAATGTATTTATTAAACCCAGTGAGAGCAGTATTTTTCTATGCACTTGTAAGTCTATTGAAGAACAAATACATCTTTTAGACAATTCCACACAATCATAGAAATCAAACTAACAAACTTTTGCAATAACTATGATTTTGATTTTTAATTAGCTTCCAAATGCTCTATAATTGAACTACATCGTAGAAGTAAGAAATGCTTCCAATTAATTGCATTCATCTGTTTTTCTCCGAAAAATTGCATTTCATTAGGCATTGATTTTGTTTTGGTTTTTTTCTTTTCATTTTTATATTCGATTGTTTTTCCATTTAATTTTTTTGTTTGACAGTTTTTCTATTAGTTGTGTTTAAATCTTGTTCCCAATTTTAGCAAATTTTGATGATAGTGATAAGAAACCTGACATTGTATGTTGGCAATTTTGACATTCCACTTTCTTTTTATATTTTATATTGACATGTTTGACATTACGCAATAACATGTTTGGCATTATGCAATGACATGTTTGTCAGTATGCATTATCGTCTTTGACATTGTGGCTTTGGTTGGCATTGTATCAGAAATTTTTTCCCTTGGCAGTGATACCATAACACTGTAGTGGCGACAATGGCAGTCCTAATCCTACGTTGGCAGTAAATTATGAAATAGATAACAGCAAATGGGGGCGATGAAGGCAGCATCCGCAACAAATGGGGATAGGAGCGGCAAATCGTGGTGGCGATAGTGCCGATCGTGGCGGTGTTAGTGGCAGCAACAATGTAGATGGGGCCGCATTTAATAACGATGGCAACATGAGATTGTGGCGATGGAGTGACAGTGAGGACGGTAGCGGCGATGACGGCAGGGGTGGCGACAATGACATGTGCGGCAGGGGTTGTAGCTAATTTAGGATTTTGTTAATGTATAAATGCATTTTATTTCATATTTGTAATATGAATATAACTTCTATTTTTGTATGTGGTCAATATTTTACTTCTATTTTGCTCCATAACTCTAAGACATTAGATTAATTTAGTTAATTACTCCTATTTATGGGTGTTTATGTTTCAACTCTTATTTAGAGAATATGTCTTATGTTTTACTACTACTTTGGTCCTTCTCCCTATATAATATGGTTATATATATGTGTTATATATATATATATATATATATATATATATATATATATATATATATATATATATATCACCCAAAATATATATTTGAGACTGTGAACAATCAAATGGAAAGAACATTTTAAAACGGATGGAGTATTCCATATTTAAAATATCCCAATTATTCTCACTAACTTTTGTTTATTTGTATCTTTTTAATGATTATTTGATAAAATAAAATATTCTTGTCACTTCTCTTTTTTGTGGAACTTTGGATGCATTGTTTTAATACTTCGTGTGTAAATTTTATTTTTTACTAATTTACTAATTTATAAATAAAATGATTTCAAAAATCGTGAATTGTTCTAATTTAATTAATGTTAATATATGATGAGAAGAGTTCAATAAAATCAAAATGTGTGATTTAAAAAATAAAAAGAACATTTGTAAATGTATATGGATTGATATAAGGGATTTTATACTGTACCTTTGCAGATGGAGGGGCATGGACACTGGCGGATGCATGCTCAAAGCAATGTGGGCACTTGCCCCCAATGATTTCCAAAAAAATATTTATGAAAAATGCTAGGGTGCCACCACATGGGTGCTACCATGGGTGCACCCATGCTTCGCACAGACAAACACAGACGATAATTGTCTGTGCGAGAATTTTAGATTGGACGAGAATTTTAGTATCAACAGCTATTTTCTGTCATTGAATTTGTTTAGATTGGACGAGAATTTTAATAGTTCTTAACGAGTTCAGAGGAGCAAAGTAAACGCTTGTTCAATGATAATAAAAATTACATAACGGGGTCTGGGTGCGGCAGCTCCTGATAGTGAGGTCCAAAAGGCAGAGCCTCAGGGGGTCGAGCTTCATTGAAAAAGCCAAAATGGTGCACAGGAGAACGCACTTAAAGGAAATTAAACATGTGGCGAAGCAAAAGTGAGTAATGCTGAATATATGATGAGTTTTATGCTGGCTAATATGCTTGCTATTTTAGTTATAAAGGTGAATATATGATGAGTTTTTTGTTGTGTTATATATATGCGGAAAAAGTGTTAAGTTGGGAAGCTTAATTAATATTTGAGTGAATTCTCAAAAAAGGCATTTTCACAAATCAATCTCTGAACAAGTAATAATTACTTATACGATATTTTAATTTATAATTGAGAAATTTTCTTGTCCGTAATAATCAATTATAATCTACATAGTATTTTATAATTAACATTTTTGTCGATGATAGCCCTCGGACAATTGAGGTGAAATTGTAATTATAACTCAAAGGGGTAATTTGGGAAAATATTTAATTATAAAACACTACTTTCGAAACTTACTCATAGTTTAGATTATGAAAATTACCAAAATATACTACACTTAATAGTCATTTGATGGACATTTTTTTACAAAGAACTACCAAGAAAATAAATCTCAATTATAAAGTATCAAGTGGGTAATTATAGTTTATTGATGATTGGTTTGAGAAAATATCCTATTATAATGAGCTGTTTTGGGAATTCACTCTAAGTTTCATAATTGGTTCTTCAAACTTATGGTTTTCCATATTTAGTCATTTATTACCAAATATTACGTTTATGGTACTTTTTTTATGAGTATCTTTCCATGAAAACAACAACAACAACCCAGTTAAATCCCACAAGAGTAGGGTCTGGGGAGGGTGTGTGTACGCAGACCTTACCTCTACTCGAAAGTAGAGAGACTGTTTCCAAAGAGACCCCCGGCTCAACGTCGAAAGTTGCATTGCTTGACTAACTGCTACTTCATTAATTAAAGAAGCGCAGACAGTTTAGAGATCCATTTTGATTTATTCCATCACACCCCAAAGCCAAAAAATGGTGAAATTTTGGCTCCATCGAAGATGATGGAAATATTATATCTTTCCATGAATAGTCATTTTTTAATCTTTTGTCATGTTAGTGTTAATGGAAGCTAAAAATATAAGTTCACATCGACCATAGCATATATTTTGTCTTTGACCTGTTGACTTGACGAACAACGCAACAATTACTATAGTTGCGGGCTTGGATGCCAACCAGCGACGATAGTTGTGAACTACAATTTCTTTTACTAGTGAATGAACACTTTTTTTTATCGGCGTCACTCTTTTATAAGTGAATTGTGAACTATATGAACAATGACCAGAAGATTATATTATTTTTTGGGTATTATATGTTGGTATTATTAACATTATAAATTTTATTTTAGGGCTAAAAACATGAAGATCTTATTTTAGTTTTTTCTCTATGTTTTACTCAATTTTAGTCTTTTCTCCAAAAAAATTAATTTATATGTTTCGAATATTTGAGAATTTTTATTTTGTTATCACTTGTTTGTAAATTTGTAAAAAAAATGTAAATCTTAACCTCTATATTAATAGGATAAACGTATTTATATAAAAATTATATTCCAATGCATTTGTGCAGTTATAACAATAAAATCACTTTATAAAAAATATTTTACAATGAAATTCATATTTCTCTTTTCTTGTTTCTCTCAAAATCCATTATGTTGTGCGTGCTCTTTTCTTTATCCGTATCAATTTCTTATGCATTTGTGCAGTTATAACAAGCATTATGTGATTCAAATCATTTTTCTTTTCTCCGCATAAATTTCAACTGACCAATTTTTACTTTCTTAATCTGTGTGTTGAGTCAAAACAGGCACAACATAGAAACACTACAATACCTTCTATCAGCTCCATTTTCAGGAGCTACTAAAGAAAGTAGACTGTTACTACTTTGATTAAATAGATAATGAATGGAAGGAAGAAATTAAAAGATAGTGTGATTTTACCGGTGTCTGGAACCATCTTCAGCTTCCAGAGTCAGTTTAACCCCAGCTTTGAACCCAGTTGGTGAGAATCCAAGTGTCTGGATTAGCTTAGTAATATCCATTGATATATCCGCTGGGGACTTCACACCACGGTCGACCTGTAAAATTCATGTTTCAAAACAATTTCAATGAAAAAACTGAAATTTTACACAAAGTGTATGTAACGTTACAAATGTCCGGACGTAGTTGAAACTCTGTGAGCAAATTACTTACCGATGACGAAGAAACTGGCCTGATTGGCACGTTATAACCTCTGATTTCCGCAACAGCTTCCGCCATCTGAACCCGAGAGAGCCTATCTGGCCCACCGACATTCACAAGCAATTGCATTGGCTTACCCTCTAGAAACATCCATGAACATGACATGTGTTAAAACACAAGATAACCATGAGCAATCCTATTGTTTTTGCCTTTTTGGCATCTTAGATTTAATGCTCAGATTTAATTCACTCTAAAGCTTAAAAATCAGTTCTCACTTCTGGAAAGTAATGGGTTGAAAACTAATTAAAATGAGATATTGCCCGTTTAATATGTTTCAGGGTTATAGCCTGTTTGTCGAAAACGAAAACATAATTTGTATCGAACCAAGTGGAAACTGTTCATGATATATGTCGAGTAGCATATCGAACCTGAGATCCATTTGTTAGTCAATGTTTGTATGATGGTTACAAGATCCCCAACGTACACAGGACAACGAAACTCATCATGGAAAAATTCTGTCTTGTCTCCCTTGGCAAGGACACTATCAATCCACTGCATCATTTTGAATGGCACTTATCAGCTATCATCAATTAAAACTAAAAAGCCTAGTAATCAAGCACTTTGATCAGCCCTATTGGAAATGACGTGTTTGGTAGCACCCGTTTCAGCCAGACAAGTCAAAAGCTGCTGCTCATTCTTATTTTACTGATAAGGATAAACCAGATAAGGATACCTAACAGAGCCTTAGTAGCCAAGCCAAAAGAATAATACTCTCTATAAGATAATGCTTCTTAGGATTGCAAAAATGGTGGAGATGGAAAAGGAAAGCTACTATACTTGAACTGGAAGTGACTTTGGAAGAGGAGAGATAGTCTGAGGTCCAAAAATGATACTGCTTCTTAGGATTGTAAAGTTTGAGCAATTTGAAGAAATGAATTCCTCTGCGGCCACCTTTGACTTTCCATAAACATTAACAGGGACGGTCTCATCTTCTTCCTTGTAAAAGGATTTTGTCCCCTCATAGACTGGAAAAAATAAAAGATGAATAAGTTTTGGATGGAAATGTAAACCAAGAATTGATGTTTAAATAAATAGAATTTGCCTTCATTCTAGTGACTGCTAATGCCTACCCTGATCTGTCGACAAATGGATCAGAAAAGTATTGTTCTCATCAAAGCTGGACAGCCACTTAACAAGAGGATAGGGCACATTGATAGCCATGGCAGCTTCGGGGTCAGCTTCACAGGCACGGGAGACAGAAAGAGCAGCACAGTTAATCACAACATCAGGCTGCCAAACTTCAAACTAGCCTTGTTATTGTCTAGTAACTGTATAATACATCTAAATGTATCGTGATAATTTTGCATTCAGCTTCTGCAAATGAGCATTCTTTAGAAGCAAAAATGAGCATTCCTCATATTCAAATGAGCATTCTTCACAAGGAAACTGTATAGATGTGCGATCAAATAAAAGCAAGTGGAAATGATATACTTTCCTGCCTAACGTCAACGGTCAAAATGTGGTCTAATACAGGGTACAAATAATAGCATCCTGAAAATTATTTTCCAACTTAAAAATAAATTTCTTTTGTGCGATTTAATTCATTAAATTTGAATTTTGGTCTGATCAAAATCAAATGTCCTCTTATATTTGGCATTACTTTTTTTAGAAGTACAATTGTATCTTCGGTTTTACATAAATAACTCTTTGTTATAACGAAGTATATGCAAAAATGCAAAATAGAAATTGCAGATTCATTTATAATGTAAAACATATGCAGAAATGAAGTACTTCATTTCGGGTCCAATACGAATCAAAAACATGGATCTTGCAGATCAGAAAGTGTTGAGCCTTAAGAATTGAGAAAAAAAATCAAAACATTGAATCCACTGCATAAGACAATTCTCGTGATACTCTTTCATTTCATAAAAGTTCTTTATTGTTCGTACAACGCACGTAGCACTTCATGAGAGAAAAAATACATCAAATGATGTCTTATAGAATCACTAATTGAAATGCTTTTATTGCATTCAAACAATCAAACTACCGGTGTTGCAGAGTTCGTGCTTATTTTTAATCCATCACCAACTATCCTTATGCAACAAACTTTATATATATAAATATTGAACACATAAAACTAGTATGAGCAAAATAATAACGAAAACCACAAACACGAAGAGAATGAGAGATCTGATCGTCCTTTAGATAAATAAGGAGCAATTAATTAGCATACAATTAATCACAAAAATCACATCGGCATCACTTACCCAATCCAGATTCTAAACAAGCAAACATCAACTAAAAATCACCGCGAAGACAAATTGAAGAATCGAACCTGCCCTAGGGTTTGCGAGATGGAATCAAATCCAATTCCAGTGCGCAGATCGAGAGGAAAAGGGACGGATTGAGGGGCGGCATCGAGGAGCGGCTGGGGAGGACGATTGGAGTGGTAAGTGAACCCTAGCAAGAGAGGAAAGGGGAGAGAATGGAGAATCTGAGTGAAGCCTTGGAGCAGATGCTGGCCCAGGTAGCCGGTGCCGCCCACTATCAACACCTTCTTCTTCTCGCCCGATCTCCGCTTATCGGTCTCCATAGCTTTCTTTGCTGCGCCACTTTCTTCGTTCTAAAATATGGCGCTAAAACTATACTCCCTTAGATTTGCAAAAAAAAAAAACTCTTTTTATGTTTTAAATAGTTTTTGAACATGTTTAGTGAGGGTAAACATTTAATTGAAGAATGTCTAATGAAAATTAAGCTGTAATACTATATTGAAAAATTAAAACATACTCTCCTCGTTCTTAAATGATTTACACATTTTACTATTCAAAAATCGAGAAAACTTTTATTTAATTGTGTGGTTTATTGACTATTGATGAAATAAAAATTCCCGTCATCTCTTGTCGTGTAGAATTTTTAATATGCTTTTATAAATATGTAAATTTTATTTTTTATCTATATACCTATCTTTAAACAAAATAAATTGAAAAATCTTGAGATTTGATTTCATTTTGCGTAAGGAGTAAATAATTTAAGAACAGATGGACTAGGACGCTACATTGAAAAACTCATTATATTTTAATATTATATAAGTAAATTTTCCTTGTTAAACGTCATGCACCGTTATCGGGCGTTTAACGCCAGCGGGTGTAAAACATTGCCCCCCTTCGCCGTGAGAAGGGGATCAAACGTCATGCGTTAAATGTTTGACGCATCGGCTCTCCCTCCCCCAACGGCCATAATTTGGACCGTTGGGCATTATTTAAAAAATAATTTTGATTTACTATAAATACCCCTTATTTTTAACACAACAAACACACATAATTTATTCTCGTTCTCTCCATAATTCCTCTAAAATATATTATATTGTACTTCTTTTAATTATCTCTGCTAAATATTTGAAAAATGGGATCATCATTTGATAATAAAAAGAGAGCTCTCATTTTTATTGAATGTAAACTTTGACCATAAATTAAATAAAAATAATATTAGATATTAATACAAAAAATAGTCCTATTAAATTTATTAGATAAAATATTTTCAAAATATTATTTTATCTAATTTATATATATATATATATATATATATATATATATATATATATATATATATATATGGGTCGGTTCCTGTGAGAATGCACCTTGTGGAGAGAAATGAGAATAAAATCTAGCAGCCGTTGGATCTGATGCATCGTGCGGCTCAGATTGCATCCTGCGCTCATATTTTGAGATAGTGCATTTTCAAAGGATTTTGGTGCATTTTGACGTGATGCATTTTTAAACCATTTTGGTGCATCTAATTTTGATGCAATCCTGATCCTTAGATCTAACAATCTAAAGCACCAGATTCATTCTCATTTCTTTCCTAAGATTGCATTCTCACCAGAACTAAAATATACTCCCTCCGTCCCAAAAAGATCTACACCTTTCAAAAAAATTGCGTTCCACAATCTCCTACCCATTTCTATTAAAAAACCACTTTTACCCCTTACTTTTTCAAACCCTACCTATCACATCATACCTTTTTCCTAATAATTTATACATCACATCCTACTTTTACCCATCACATTAAGGGTATTTTTGGAAAGTCAACACAAAATTATCTCTCCCTTAATTTCAACTTTAGTCAAAATGGGTAACACTTTATGGGACGGATGGAGTATATGTATGTATATATATATATATATATATATATATATATATATATATATATATATATATATATATATATATATATATATATATATATATATATATATTGGTTCTAGTGAGAATGCGATCTTAGGAGAGAAATGAGAATGAATCTGGTGTTTTAGATTGTGTGATCTAAGGGTCAGGATTGCATCAAAATTAGATGCATAAAAATGGTTTGAAAATGCATNATGAAGGTAGTATTCATGTTGATTCAGTGCACCGACTAGCATTCAAGAATTTTTAAATGAATGTATATGATGCACTGAATCAACATGAATACTACCTTCATTCTGTAAAAATTTTCCTGTTTTGACTCTTGAAATGCGAAACTATAGAAGTTTGACCATAGTAAACAATAGCAATTGAAAAAAGTATGGCTCGAGAAATGTCAAAATAAATACACTTATAAGGTAGTTGAGATAGGTTAAGTTAGATTTATGAAAGGTAAAGATAATTGTGCCTATTTAGCCCGTATTAAAATGTTTTATGAGACAAATAAGATGTAAAAATTGAAAAAATTTAGGGGACAAAGAAGGATATGATTTGAAAAGAACATTGTATATATGATGATCTTTAGTACATTATGATAAATTTCATGGATCAATCAATAGAGCTAGTCATTATTATTTAATCACAACAACATTGAAAAGGGCCACCTTGACTAACGTATGAAAGGCACAGCCCAAAACCAGTTTTGCCTTCCCTATTTGTGCACACGGCGGCGCAGTCCGCGTTACTACTGCACGGCGGATGGTTTGGCGGGAAACAAAACCGGCCAGGAATCACATATAACAACCCTTCATCATTATCATTATTATCATTCTTCTTTCCTTCCCCATTGTCCTTCGCCATAGATGCACCTAATTAAATGAGATTTTTTGAAAATATATTACAAAAACTTTTATTGGCCATAATTACTTAATTATCCTATAGATATTTAGAAAAAGATATACTACTCCCGTCTCTGAATACTTGTCCAATTTTGACTTGGGAAAAAAAATACAAGTAGAAGTAAAACATTAAAAATATACCAAAACAGGATTTTCATCTTTTATTCCCAAAACAGGAGTTAAAATGCATTACATTACCAAACATGGTCATGTACATTACTTATTTCAAGAATAATAACATGGAACTCTTATTTTGATACTTGTTCTATGTTTTAGTCCTATTTAGGGTGATTTTCTATTTTGACTTTTTGAAGTCAATCATTTCTAAGTTTTGACCAATAAATAAAAAAAATATAAATTGTATATTAATTACGTAAAATAATAATTTGAAAACGTTTCATAAAATGAGTGTAATAAAATTATTATTTTTTATCAATATCTAATATCATTTTTATTTAATTTATAGTCAAAATTTATCAATTTTAACTGAAAAAATTAAAAGTGGACAAATACTCAAGAAGAGAGAAAGTATATCTCAAATGAACATAAATAAACTCATATAGAATTAAATATATAGTACCAGAAGATAGTAGAATCATGACCATAAACGAACAAATCACAGCCACAAAAGTGCATCCTTTGGTCCTAAGGCTTCCATCTAAATCACCCATATTTTATTTCTATGCTCTTATTATAATTTGTTTTCTTATATATTCTCCTTTAATAATAATATTGTTTTGATAATGCACAATGGTATGTATGTCTGTATATATATAGCACTATGTGTCTGATGTCTCTTTATTCAGATGCATTCTACATTAACACAACATGTCCAGGTGGTATAACTTGATTAATATTTTTCCATATTAATTAATTAACATATTAAATTATTTACTTATTGTCTGAAGTAATTAATAAATTACTCTCTTTATTTTCCTTAAAGAGTGTATTTTGGAGTATCAATAGTAAAAGATAGGAGTAAAATGTAATGAATAGTAAAAGATAAAGTGTAAAATTTCATATCTCCACATAGAATATATGATAAGAAAAACTTCAATTAAGCATTTATGAAATGGAAGCCATGTTTTGTTTGTCCCAAATTATTTGTCGTAATTTGACTTTTATGCTAATTTTGATCATAAACTATAAAAAAATACGTAGTATATATTTAGTTATATGGTTGAATATGTCTTTAGTCCTTGTAAAATAGACGAATTTTATTTGTGGTCCTTTTGAAAAAGAATTTCGTTATGAAGTCATCTTTATAGAATTATAGAATAAGTTTGTTTTTAAAATGGGCATTATATATAATTAATAATTCTAATTTGTTGAGATAACATATTTATTTCGTACTCAACTTGCAAATTTTGCATTTGTGCTACCTCTGATCCAACATAATTCTCATACCTTGAAACGTGTCCTTATTGATATTATTACATCACTAATTCCTAATTTTTATTAAAATACAGTATAATACTAATAAAATTTGAGAACGAGGGTCTAATTTTATAAAAGACGTAATTTACGACATAAAATTTTGTTTAAGGTAATTAAATACGTATGATTAAAAATATTGAATACGAAATAGATGTGATGTCTCAATAAATTACTAGTGCTAACTACATTTAAAAATTTAAAGTGGGATCGATCCTACTGTATACCGACGGTTTCAAATCACAAAAAGACGTTTATTTGGGAACCAAAAAAATTATAAGAATTTTTATTTTAAAAATTCTCAAATGTTGTTGAAGGTTAAAATAGCAGGTTCCATATTTTTTTAAAGTTATATACTCCATGTTTTATCTAGAATCTTGTACTCTCATTGCTCTCCGATCCTATTAATTAAAAAATATTTTCTTCAATGAGACATCACTATGTCATTGAATTTGAATTTTTCCATGAACTAGAATAAATTTAATTATCAATTAGTAATATTGTACAGTAATTAATAGAAATCTTTTTCCATTTTTTAAATTCTTTTTATTAAACACGAGAAAAGAAAATATGTTGCACCCGGAGGCTAGCTCACACGTACATTCAAATATTTCAAGAATGTATATTAATTAGGGAATATTAAAATGCAAAGTAAATCTCGTATATTAATTAAACGGCCGATCGGAGTATCATGTTTATTTGTGAAGAATACAGTATAATGTATGATTGAAAAAGAACAATTTTGATTTAATTTGCTGTTGCACAACAACATTGAGGGGGACCAACAAATGTAATGCAAGCTAAGAAGGTGTTGTCGGTGGCAAACAATCATATGATCGAAGGAGGACCGTATAACACATTATTGTTGTTTTTCGATTCTCCATTCGCCGTTACTATTGGACATTTGAATATACCTGGGAAGAAAATAAAAAAAATACTTACAAATTAAAACTAGGTGTAATAATTATCAATAGAAAATAAATTATATACACATTATTATCTCAAATTAATAAAAATATAAATGAGATAGAATACACTAATAGTACCATAAGATAGTACAATTGTCATCATAAACCAACATAGTGTAGTGCCAAAAGTGCATCCATTGGGCTTGAGGCTTCCACCAAAACCACCCATTTTTCTAGGCAAATCTAAAGGACGGAAGGAGTGCATAATACAAAACCCTTCCTATTTCGTGCATA